TAAAACCTCACGAAAAGACGCTTCTTCTGATGCAAATTGCAATTCCCAGGAAGTCTGCATTAGAGCCACTCCTACAGTACGTTCATAGTTGTCATCACTATCATGAGCAGAACACGAACCATAAGACTCATCTGAATCACTGGCCACTTCACTGTCTCGCCCCTCGTCTGAGCCTCCATCTGTCGAAGAGCCCGTACTTGAGTCAGGCGATTGCTCGATCATAATGAAGTAGAGACCCTCGAAGACCGGGAAAGTCTGACCCCATTGATAATGTTCCGGTCCAGCGTTCCTCTGCAGTATGATGAAACAGTCATTGACCCAGACACATTGATTTGCAGGATATATCTGAGCAAATGCCATGTATACAGAGGGCGTTCCTCTGGTCCCAAGAAGAAAAGTCCCCCTTAAACTGGTTAGGCTAGAGCGATAATCAACTAACACAGGTATCAAATGCTCATGCCTGACAGGGGTCACGATGACTTGCGGCAAATCATATGGTAAGTGAGGCGGGACCGGCCGTACAGGATGCACATAGCATGGCCTTCGTCCAAGCATGTTCGCCCAACTGGCTCTCGCCTGTGCACCCGCTGGCAGCTCATGGTTATACACAACATAGCGGTGGTTGGCTTGCAGGCGCCGTATTGCTTCAGCGGGGTGATACCAGACAAGAAGCTGGGTATCACGGAAATTCGGAGCGTGAGTCCTAATGTATTGTGCCACCAAATCCTCAATCGGTGGACTCACCTGCATCAAAAAAGCTTCATCAGGGGACCAGTCAACAGCAAGGTCCAAAGCCTCTTCTTCTCTTTGTTTCTTACTAGAATTCCCACTATCTGAATCAACGAAAGAATCAGCAAAACGTGGGTTAACGGCACGCACAGCACAAGGAGTCGAAAGAACCCCCCGTGCACAAGAAGACCCATGCTCTACTTCACAAAATCTCAATTCTTTCTCGCTTGTCAAGAAGACCTGAGGACAAAACGAAGCAGAAGCATAGGAATCTCGGGAAAGGCCTTCGTTGTCGGAACCTATTCGACACTGCATCTCATCATTCCCACAAGGCCAAGGGGAAGGACAAGCTTCATTCGATCCACACAGAAATCCGGATCCTATGTGGTGGCAAGTGGAAGTCGAGTTCCCCTCACTCTTCCACTCTCGGCTTAGTATTGCAGGAGAGAAATTCACACCTAGCTTAATCGCATCACTATGCACAATCATGCACTTGCTCTCTCCTACTTGGCCACGGCAATCACTGCTGCAATGGTGTTCTCCTTCATCTGAGGCAAAGGAAGAACGGAAGGCCTCTCTCTGGCCAAAGGTATGGTATCCAATGGTCACCTTTTCTTTGATAGCAGAGGCTTCACTGCAACCAAGGTTGAGCAATAGAAAGATCCCAACCCATTTGATCCGTGGCTTTCTTCTCCTATACTTGAGAGCTCTACGACCCTCGCACCATCGACACATCGCAGGCATGTAGAGTGCCTCCTCAAGTCGTCCTCGATAGAGTAAACCCAAGATGCAGAGAGAAAGGAAAGCACCATGAAGTCGCACAATAGAGACAGCCAATGGCAGCCCTCCAGATACCTCCTCATCAATCTCCACATTTGCAAACTCCAGCAAAGCCCCTCCACAGAGCAATCCAAGAAGCTGCGAAAACAAGAAAGGCCATAGCAGCTGTAGCGTAGGACAGCAATTGATCCGGCCTCCTCGAAAGATACACTTCCAAGCACAAATGATTTGGTCTCCTTGAGTGACTCCCCAAGCAATCGACAGAGCCCAAATCAGCACCAAGATTTGCACAGGCAGGAAAGAAATGCTTCGAAGACCCCATTGAAGTAGGAAAATACAGCCAACCATTTGCATAGATGGACCGTCTTCATGGTAGGTCTCAAACAAATCATCCGTACTCAAAGATGAAAGGAGTTGGGGGCCCTCTTGAAATCCCCCCTCATAGAGTAGTATGCCAGCAGAACAGCAACTTGTGTGTAGATTCAAAGTCGCTACACAGCACCCGGAAAGCAACTGCTCATATGGTAGTTCATGCGTGCTGCTTTGAAATTGAGCGCACTGCAGAAAAAAGGATGACATCGACACCCCAAGCCCACTAGTGAACCACACCAATGGATACTCATCGTCTGCCACCCCTAGCCGTCCATCTTGTGGAAAAGGCCACTCGATGCATCGGAATGCTGACTGTCCTCCCTCGGGGTCCCTTCTGCCCCAGATGTCCCTTCTCGCAAGGGCTTGTTCAACTCGTGGGAACTCCAGAAGGGCTGCAGCGGCCCTTTTGCCGTAGTCTTGCCTTTGCCCTTCTTCGCACCACCAGTCATCGCACCATTCTTTCCTCCACCATTGTTCACCTGCTCCAGCATTTGCTGACAGAGCAAGTCTACACTTGCAGGAGTCTGGTACTTCTCTGGCTCGGCCTCCATAATGGCGGTAATTGTCTGGTGGTACTCCACTGGGATCTTGTAGAGTGCCTTCATGATCTCGGTCTTGTTCTCGATCTCTTCGACCGTACTCTCGGCATTTCGTTTGCAAGGTGATCGTGAACGATCTCCCCTGTAGGTTCTGTCCGGTGTCTTCTCTGGCAAATGAATCTTGGGTGCGTGAACCGTTTGCGGAGACTCTTTCAAGACCTCTGTATGCTTCACGTCTTTCACAGCTTGTATCAGGAATTGCATCTGCTGTGCCATATCCATATTCCGCTGTTCGAGACTCATAACATAAGAAGTCATCTCCGCTCGGAACTGTTGCAGCTCTTGAGTCATTACCTCTCGTTGCTCCTTGGGGAGGCCACCAACTTCGAGGTCCATGCGACCGTCTTTCTCCTCCAAGGTCGCCACCTCGTCTTTGAGCTCCTTGATCTCGCTCTGGTGTCGCTTCTCCTCGTCGTTGATCATGTCCATCATTGCAGCCTTCCAACTCGTAAAGCTGTCCTGCTGGGTACTGATCTGCGACTGGACTTTCTCCAGTCTCCCGAGGGACTTCTTCATCTTGTTCAATTCTTTCTGTTGCTCTCGTAGTTCTTCTCGTGGATTGGAGTTCACCAAGCGCTTGATGTCTTCCGGCACCTCTTCTCCACCTAATCCTTCTGCATCCCTCTTCGCTAAGAAGCGCACCGCATCCTTCAACTTCTTGTTCTCGCTCTGCAAGTCGGCCTGGGCCCCAGCTGAAGTAGATGAGGATGATCCAGATCCAGGCAACTTTAGCTCTAGGCGACGCCCATCGTGGCTGTAGATGACCTGCTTGGAACGATCCTTCTCCTTTGGCTTGACCTCTTGCTTTGCTGAGCTCTTTTCTCGTGCTTCTGGCCATGATTGCTTCCAGCTTTCTGCACGTTGATTCCACTTCTGCTGGTTCTTCCATGACATCCTATCCAGGCACTTGACACGGTAGATTGGCTTCGTATGGTGCGAGGCCAAAAGGCGTCCAGCCCGTAGGACACGTAAGAGCAGTTTTCTGCTCAACCAGCTCTTGCACCTATGCTTCTGGAGATCCAGCCGAGCCTTCGCTCGTCTTGCTCTCAACCTGCGATGCCACGAAGGACTAGGTGGAGGTCTCCTAGCCAACGCAATGGCGGACCGCAAGGAAAAGCGCGACCTGTGTTAGGTCTGGGGCCGCGAGTGGCTCCGATCGATTGATCGGCAATCTCGAGCCCTCCTAGTAGGGGCCCCACAAACCATCAAACACCTGGTTTTGATAGGTTTTCCTATCAAAAAACATGTATTTTGTATGTGAACACCTTTACTTTTCATGGTTTTGAGATGTTTTGAGGGCCACTGAGTGCGTCTAGGCCTTTTATACCGGGAGTGTCTAGGCTTGGAGGCAAAGCGACCAGTGTGAAGGCGCAAAGTGAACGGACCGGACTGGACTTTCGTGAACGCATGGATTGCGAGGACCAATGGCACAGGGACCCTCATCTAAAGGACATCATGGGGTCTCTGTCATCTAAAACCACGGTATTTCATGTGTTCCATGAACCATGCATGGCGCCGGTTCAAAAGCCATACACTCTCACCAATCCTCTCCACTCGCCCCAAATCCAAGAAGGGGGTCCATCGGTCCCTGAGATCTTACCATTTCCTCACTCAGTCGGATCTGCTTCGATCAGTCTAAACGGCGGGGGGACACGCACGACGCCCAGGCGTCCTCCGGGCATCGTTCCACCGGTCGTTGGGTTTCTGCGGAAAAAACCCACGGTGCGAAACCAACCCGAGAGCAGAGGGATACCAGGGAGCATCCTGCCTGAGATCCTGGTTGGACTACCCCACGGAGATCCCGGGATCTCCTGACAGGAGGCCCTGGTCCCGGATGGTCCAGACATGAACTTGTCCTTCGTAGGTTCTCCACTGACAGTGTAGGGGGGGACACTTCTTGACGTGACGTGGGCCTTGACGTGACTTGGTTTTGCTGGGTTTGCTCGCAAAGGGGCGGGATTCGAAACCACGCAACGATGCACTCTCTTTTCACAAGTTCAGAAGAGGACTGAGTCATATCTTCTTCCAAAACACTCCAAAACAAAGCACGTAATTAGTGCACCGGCGACCCGAACAACCCAACCCAACCAGGTGTCCGTTTTGTATGCAAGTCACTTAATAGTTATCACCCTTCAACATAAATCGACATGAAATGAAGACGGTTCTTACATGTTACTTACCATCAATCCACCCCAGCAACTGACCCGCAAACACCCCGAAGCAAAACAACAAATCCAACTGACCCTCCGGCGCCAGACACCCGATTTGCTTCAGCAACCGGACTTAAAGGACCAAGTGCCGCACACACCCATATTCTCATTCTCCGCGCCAGAACTTTCACCCCCAAATCACTATGCACGTTCTACCGTCTATGCGTCACGTCGGTCACGTCTATGCGTCTACGTAGAACACGTCTCTCTAGTGTCCGCTACCTCTAAGTGACCTCTACGTCGGTCGGCATCCTCCTTTTCCTTTGGCGGACCTTCCTTCCTGCTGGACCCGCTCGGAGCGCCGAGGGACGGTCCGAGAAGTTGGGCATGATCGCTTTCAGCACCCGTCCTGAGATTCGGGTCCAGGGTGGCGTCTGGGCAGTAGGTGGAGATCCCAAGTTTCAACCTGATACCACAAACTTCCAACAGGTCACCAGAATGGAGGCAGAATGGAGGCAGTGTTGACCTATAAGTCGCAGGTGGTGACCTGGCAGGTTTCGGGTCCTGGTAACAATCACTGAAGATTTGCCTATCCCAGACACTCCATGTATGGCATATTTACATACGTTGACCTCTGAAACCATAATGTAGGCATATATTATATTCCATACATGGAGTGTCCGGGTATAGATTGGGGTGATGTTCAGATGTTTGAAGGGCTGTACCGACCCGGTCGTACCACCTCGGAAACGGTTCTATAGATCGATTTATACCGCCTGTTACTGTTGATGTCACAGATGTGTCATGATGACCTAGGGGGTATCTGGAAGTATATCTCTGGAAGTATATGGCCAGGCTGGTCCAGGTACTTCCGAAGTCCCATGAAAGAAGTGAACACTCCTCGGGCGCCCCTGCAAGTTCGGTGTCGGGCCCCCATGAATTGTTCGCCCGTGGTCACTCGGATTCTGAGGGCCTAGGGATCCACTGCCACCGTACCGACCTGGTTCGGTACGACTGGGCCCGACAATGGCGCCTACATAAATAGTCGAACACATCACTTTCTGAGAAGGTACGACTGGATCCCTAGGGAGGGAATAAACATCGAGGAGTCTTTGCAGCGGTCACAAGAACTTCTTCCCAAAGAAAACTCGAAGATCAAGAGAATTCTGGAGCCAGCTGCTGGACAACGATATTTCTATCATTCGTCTCATTCCAGTTTGATGCTATAGTCGCTGGCTCACTTTTCTCGAGACCCTTCAAAGCGGAACCCGTTTTCACCACACCCGTTGAACACAAAAGCGGTGGCTTCGTTTAAACACCCTTGGCCACTGCTGTTGCTATAGTCATCAGGCAGCAAACCTACTGGATTCGGCCGTTGGCACCCCGCAAATGAGGAATTTCTGGTGGTGTCTTCAGTGGGAAGTCGTTCTCTGCTGTTCTCTGCCGATGAACAGAATATCACATCAAAAAAGCACTGAACACATGCACACGAGCTGTAAATGCAAAATCCTCCACAGACACGACTGGGACCCTAAAACAACACCCTACTAAGAACCCTTGGATTCTCCATGGCAGGGGTCGGACCCGAACCAAAACCCTTCCCATTGCTTCGGGAACGCATCCAAGGCATTCTTAAGGTAGAATCCACCCGTCATCCCGTTGTGAAAGTTCTCCAATGAATCAAGGCGGCGTTGGCACCGGCTCTGATGAATCAACCCAAGCGATCCCAAAAACCCGAAACAGTTGCCGAGACCTCCATGGGACTGCCCTATGTTTGCCGATGACTTGGGGTGCTTAGCCTAGTTTAAAGGGGTGAAGGTCGGCATGGCATGGAAAGAAAGGGCTGCTCATGTTAGAAACACCCAATGCCATGTTAGACCTTTATGGCATGCCATATACCCAATTGGAAACTTCTTTTGGGAGTCCCATGAAGTCTTTCATCCGATAGACCATCCTTTTGTCGGTGGTGCATGGAAAGCCACGGGTGTCGCATGGAAAAGACGCCACGCTCGGTGGACATCAGGATCGATCAATCAGTCGATCAATCTACGCAACATCTGACGTATGCTGCGGGTTGCCCGTAAGATGGGGTTCCTGGTCAATGGAACATCAACAAAATCCAGTGGTTGACGCTGAGGGGTCTCTCTCTCTAGTCTAATCTTTAAGCCCTAAAACCCATGTGCAGATTCGTGTAAGAGCTTGATCCACGCAACAAAGTCTGCAAACAGGTCCATGTTGTGAGTCACCTTTAAACATATTTAAACGTCACCACAGCCAAGACCAGTTTTCTTGGCTGTGCCCCCCTTCCCCCCTACCACAACCATGCTTTTGAATTGGACACCCAACCACCACGAGGTTCGTGTTTTATTCCTGTGGATTCCTGGCAGCTTCGTGATCCTTTTCAAGGGGAAGTGGTGAGATTCCCGTGGCCCTGGGATTCCAAAGCCATTTGATGTTGCGCAACTATGCTGCCATGAAAAGAACGCCCGAACAACCCTAACAAGTTTAGGAACGGACTTTACATGGTTTTTGCCGGGCTTAAACCAGTCTTTGGAAGGCTTTTACGCAAGGTCCACCAGGTCACCAGGTCGATCATTATAAGATAAGTCATTTACTGAAACTATCTCCCATACACTCCATGGGACTGGAATCTATGCCGATTTACATTGACCCCCCAAATTACCACCACCCCATACGCCGTTTTGAAGGCAGTATTCCAGTCCCAGACAGGTCGCGTCTGGGTCTTACCGGTCCTTGAGCAATCCCGGTGCACACCTCACGAGTGTCCGTGGTCCATCCATCACCGGGCTTCGAAGCTCTCCGGTGTCGATCCACCCCGAACTGTCTTCATCCCAGGCCTCGAGAGGCGGCGTCCGTCACCGGATCCGGCCCGGTTCGGCCGCATGGTGAAAACCGGTGGCTGGGGCGAAATGGAAGGCTGGTGACCATCCGGATGGTATTGGAGAGTTTAACTGAGAGAGTTTTGCTGTATATACCCTATAGATCCCTATAGTAAGAAGTTCTCTTGGAGCCCGAAAAGCACAGAGGGTTTGGTTCGGATCCGATGAGGGCCCAAGGTTTCTTAGGGTAGATGGTTTGGGTCACTTTGCAAATCGATACCATCTTTGGCAGGAGATAGCAGGATAGATCCAAGAAGTGCCAGTGATGGTTTTCCAAAGCCGAAGTTCCGAAGGTACACTTGAACATACCAGTGATGGTTCCAACACAAGAACTGCCCCTATGCAGGCTGTCTTGGATTGCTTTGAAATGAAGCAACAGGAGTGCTTTCAAAAACACCGCCAAAGAAGAGGAAGTACTGCGGCCACCACCCGCCACTGCGTGCTGGCGCGAGTAGCACCGCTGCTCAAAAAGCTCACCATGCAGGACACCATGAGTGTCGTTCAAATCCAGGAGGCCCCTCCGCCCTTTCCGGGCGGTTTTGGGGCTATGTTCGGCCGGTTGCTCTGTTCAGAGGGGTCTTTTATCATCCCTACAGGCCAGGAACTGATCTCATTTTACTGGAGTTGGTCAAACAAAAACACTACTCAAGGATGTAAAAAGAACAAGTTTCACTGGACTGGACTTGTAGCTCTAGAAAAACGGGCTCCTGGCCTACATCCCCAGGTTAGGTGCTTGGGGGGTCTTACCACCTTTTCTGAGGTAATTAGGGAATACACACCCAATTCCTCGAGCTTCGAGCCTGAGGACGTGCCCCGTGCCGGACCCAAATCTGACACAGGTCAGAAGCATTCATCTGGGCTGGTGAGAAAACCAGCTGTACTATACCTGGAGTTCACCAGCCACTTCCTTCCCTGCACTACTACCCCGCGTGACCACGCCCCAGCCATGCCTTGAAGGCCTCTCTCATGTACTCCGCGCCATTCCGCTTTCCCGGCACGAAGAACCTCATGCAGGCGCCGCAGCTACTGGCCGGACGATGAATCCGGCGAAACGCATGAATCCGGCGAAACGGCGTCAATTTGACTGACTGGTGCGATTCGCAGGGCATGAGGGTGGCTGGATCCTCAGTAATCTGTATTGATTGGGAGATCATTCCCTCATGCGCTGAGCACCAGTTAGTTGATAATTTGATCTTCCAACTATGCAACATGTCTGGCTTATCATCCACAAAACCAGCAAGGTTCGGCAGACATGTTGCATAGTTGGAATCATATCCAGGTATGGAAGGGGAACACACGGTTTCAAAGGAGATACAAAAGCACTGGACGGATTCAAAGATAGAAAACAAACGTACGCACACAAGCAATCACAAGCATCATCATCATCTTCTTCATGATACCTGGACCTTCAATGGGCCTCCTGTCTGAAAATCCCTTAGTGGTGGGCTGGGGCGAAACCAGCCAGGTGACCCCGAACGGAAGGTGCGACCTGACCACCTGACCACGTCGTCGAAACCGATCAGAGCCTCCATGGGACATATCGTCGAAACCGAAAAGGAGCCAACAAAGGTTAAGTGGCCAAACCGAACGGACACGACACCTGGGGTACCGATAGCCTGGGATAGCCTAGATATAGGGTCTTTCAACCTCTGTTGGAGGGGCCACCGTGACGACCTGAAAAGGGATTTCGCCGACGTGGGTACCCAACTGGACTAGTCCAACGTGTGGGGTCTGAAGGACCTCTCTTTTGGAGCCTGCAGGAGTGTTTGGGAGTCTTTTGGCATCACTTCGCGGTGGGAGTCTTTGACCCCCACATCCATTCAATCACCCGCCATTCGGAGTACAACCGACCTTTTAACCGACCTGCCAAATGCCAAAACGTCCACGAAAACCAATTGGTAAGTTCAACCAAGTTCAACCGACCTCTTTTCCAAAGAGCTCAGTTGTAGTCCTATAGCCTTTAAACAAAAAAATTGGTTGACCTGGTGTTGGAGTCTTAAAAAAAAACAAGGGCTGGCAGTAAAAAAAATGCTCTAACATGTGGTCTACTAATACAAATGCTTGATACATGTATGCCCAGTGCGTGCTCAAGCTCAAGCTGTTTTGGGTATGAACATGCGCACTAAGGCCTTTAAACTCACAAGTTCTTACGATGTTCTTTGCATGCAGAATTGCTCAATGCATCAATTATTACAGCTGTAAAAACACCCTGAATCTACCCAAACATACCCAAACTTGAAAAAACATATTGCTTGTCGATTCCTCAATTTCCATACATATTCTATCACATTGTTTTTGTTTTTTAAATCGATATCCAATGTCCCTCAAACATGAAATGTTTCAATCATGACAGGCTTTAAGGGTGATGATCAAAAAAACAAAAAAGACTGCCTGCAAATGTATGCCAAATGCCTGTACCCATGGTGCAGATTCAGAACATGACCGGAGTAATCACTGAAGCAATCTTTACCGATCGACACTTTGGGTCTTGACCACATGCTTTCCATTTGATGCCAAAAGCCCGTTGACTCGTGACGGTTTCGCTGACTGCCCCTTCTTTTGCTGCGTTCACGGAACTCGCCAAAGAGGTCGTCGCAGGAGCCACAAAGGATCTTCCCAGCTGTGCAATGCATCCCTTGTCTAGAGATCTTCTGATTGCCTGAGCGCCGCACCAAACGCATGAGGCGATTCGTTCGCAAGGGGTCGTACGCAAGGGTATCTCAGGATCCGATGGGTTTTGGGGTGTTGCTTTTGGACATCGTTTGTGATAGGGGATCATCATGGTTTGTGGGCGCCCAGCTATCTGCGGAAGTTGGCTCTATTGAAATTGGGCTGGGTAAATCAGCTCAATCATGTGCTTCGAGGCCAAGGGATGATGGGGTGAAACTTGTTCACATCACCCGAAGCCAAGAGCAGCAGAACCAAGTACCGGTCGACTATGATCAATCATTGGCTATACCACGGGTCACAAAGGGGTGGTGTTTAGTCCCATCCAGTGAGTGGATAATGGGCACCCCTAACCTCCAATAGGCACCCCTTTGCGACCGCTGGTATACGGATAAAACAAAGTTCAGAAGGATATTCACATATATTCACCCACCAGCACCACCCAAAGGGTGGCTGTTTTCACCCCCCATGAAGAGGTATTTTCCATCCAACCTTTGGGTGGTGCTGGCATAAGGAAAATAGAAATCACACCATCAGCAAAACCAGGTTGGAGATGCAGTCTACGTCGCAGACCTCCCATGGTTGTTGCTGACGCCGCTTTTTTTTCGCTGGCAACTGGCCACCTCTGAAGTTGCTCTGGTCATGAAATCTATCTGATCATCTAACCCAAACACTCCATGTGTGGAATGCATGTCTACAGCTATCCTGGAGTACATAGAATATGGGAAAGTTCAAATAATGTCATCAAACTTATCATCAAACTTCTCATCAAATATCATCATTAATGGGAAACTGGTCATGTTTTTGGATTGGTTCATACATATTATATATATATATGTTCATATTCTAATATATTCTATCTACCATCCGCCCGCCCGCTTGCGCATAGCAGTCCCAAACAGGTCGTGCAGGTGAGGCAAACCACCCGAGAAATTCACCAAGGTACACCCATCACAAACACTCCTAGATGGAATATATAGACGATCAGGCCAGGGGTGGTTGAGTCAGGCTAGGGGTCCCGAGGGACCCTGTCGTACCAAGAGAGGTAGCCAGTGAATTGAACTAGGACCCGTCACCTGGGGTACCGGTTCCTGGGATAGTCGAAGGGCATCGGGTCCTTCAACCTTTGGGAGAACCCATCTTCATCACCCCACCTGTTCTGCGACTGTTCGACGCATCCCAATGGGTTGTCTGAACCAGGGGGTGGTCCAAACGATCGTCCCTCATTCCCTGCTTTCCTCAGCTGAGACCTCGGCCTCGGACCCTTTGGACGGGATCATGATCCTCGAAGCTTCCGGTAGACCAAAGTGGGAACGACCTGGTGTTGGACGGTGAAATCATTCGTAAAACAATGGTTGTTCGGAATTCGGATGATTGAATACATGGTGGTTGGAAGCCTAGTAAGGACCCTATAAAACAAGATTTTGAGACAGGGGCCCATGTTCGGAGTGGGGGGGCGTGAGACAGCCGCGGCTGCCTCAGTTTTGGAAGACTTCGCATCGAGGCAACACGGAGATTTTCCTCCGAGGAAAGCGTCTTTCCTCCGAGGAGCACGAGCTGCAGCGTCGGCACTCTTCATGATACCTCGGAGCTCTGGCGACTGGCGCGGACACCAAGGAAAGGACGTGTTCGTCACATGGTGGTTTCGTGGATAGTCGCATGGCCACTGGGAAGACAGGGTGGTTTCCCTCCACTTCCATGTCTGTATTCGTCAACAGTTGGTGAACTCCACTCCCCCTGTCCCCAAAGAATCGCCCACTTTTGGGTAATCGGTGGACCCGTTTCTTCGTTCGCGGACCCGTTTCACTCGGTGGAGAAGCTCGGAATTCAGACGTCGACCGTTGAAGTCGACGTCGACGTGGTGCTTGGGTGCGTCCGTGTTGCCACCGGTGGTGTTGAAGCAAAACACCGAAAAGTCCTTTAACAAAGTATCGTGGCCCCAAGAAGATTGAGATCTCAACACAAGGAACACCAAGGAAAACACCAACGTCATGATCATTTGTCTGTGTCGCAGTGGACATTGTTGCGCTTTTTGAACATGAGAGGCAGGCTTGAACACCCTGAAATTTAACTAAACGAGGTCATGTTGAATCGCAAGACAACTGCAATCAATCACCAAACCAAACAATCTCTGGATCAAAAATAATCCCTTCAGCCGACACAACTGTTGTTAGAAGACATCCAGCACCTAAGATCGATCTGAGGAATCAAATGTTCTCCCAAACGATGTAGGAATCGTGAGCAGTCCTACGGATTTGGCGATCTGAGCCTTTGACCATCCCACAATATCCCACATGTCCTACTCTTGACGGCTTTTCAAATATCTAGGAGTATATCTAGGTTTTGCATGGTTTTGCAAAAAAAACTCTTAAATCAGGCGCCCAGGCATCTTTCTCAAATGCCATTGCAATCCCAAAAACACATGACATGCAAAGTTTCACAATCCAAAAGATAGCAATCAACCAGCACCTACCGCCCCAAGAAATGCAGCCTGTTCGAAGAACACCATGCATACGTCAACTCACAAGTCCATCCACAACAGTCAAACTGGATATGGGTCAGTTCACAAACCAAAAGCACATGATCGAAGGACAAAAGGTGCTCATTGATGGGTTTTGACCCTCAACCATCACAGGTTGTTTCCCGAAACCATCACCGCCGATGGGTCTCTCTAGACTTCACCTAAAAGCCAAACCTCAAAACCTGTACCAGTGGGTCAAGATCATGATGCCTGGCTGCCTTGCTTGACGGGGAAGGACGTGGAAGGTCAAGATATACATGCTAAACCAGAACCTCCAGGTTTTGTGCTCACACGACTGACATCGGCGTGACTGACATCAACCCAAGCGGCGGATGGCTTTCATTCTTCTTGGCGTCCCGCACCTTGGGTCATAGTGAACAGGTAGCTTGCACACAAATGGTCAATTACTTACTCCGAACTCCTGTCATTTATTTGGGTCATGTCCCATTGGAGGCCGGGTACTTTGGAGGCCAGGTCCAAGCTCAAAAGGCAGTGGGTCCATCCAAAACCGGCTCCACATGCTCCACGGAGCCAGGGTTTTGGAGCGCAAGTTCGCCATTGAAGAACACCCCTTTTTTTGACCTGACACTCCGTCATGCCGAACTTTGTATCTCATCCACGTTCAAGTCTGCTTTCTCCCCGTGGGGCTGGGCATATACATTGGGTATATCCCAAGCACCCAGGGCCCAGTGGATGATGGTTAGTTTGCAAGCCTTTCTCTGCAATAGTGATGTGCTTGTGTACCAACTGCTACAAGTGTACTGGGACAAACCCAAAGAATATATGTGGGTCCTAACCCCGGCGGAGCGCTGCGGACCCGATCCTGAACAGAATGGACGCCGCCCCATGGTCAACCTACCAGGTTTTTGCCCGCATGGTCAACCTATCAGGGACCATGCTCCAAACACTACACGCCCCTTGCCCATACAGGTGGCTGTGGTAGGTATGATATACACACAAAATAACTTACACGAAAGATCACGAGATGAAATGCAAAGAACATAGACATACCAGCGGTCACAAAGGGGTGCCTATTGGAGGTTAGGGGTGCCCATTATCCACTCACTTAGGGACTAAACACCACCCCTTTGTGACCCCTGGTAATTCTAATCTAGCATTGTCGCTTAACCTGAAAGCGAACTCATGCGTGCGTAGATCGAACGATATATCTGTCAAATCAAATGGGCGTTTGGTCGCACGGAGGTCTCGTGTGATCGAGCCTCTATTTACAAACGAAGCTGAAGGGCAAAACTAGGCGCACAAACAGGGACATGCAACGGGCTGCACGTGTGAAATGGCGGGTTGATTTCAACCGAATGTACTGTACGTGAGGTACAGTCTATTATGTATGGCCACTACATCGTTATATTTAGTCAGCGCCCTATCATTTCCCAATGTTTTGGACCTTGGTTAAAGGGTATCACTTTTTGTGAGTCCCCTATCGTTTGTTTGGAGCATGCCAGCAGAATGAATGCAACACCCGTATAGTATCATAATCATCGCACATATTGAAGGCACTTCATGTACTTTATTAACAAATCCTGCAAAGTGGCCATATAGTCGTTTGTTCTGCATTAGGGAGAACAGGGTGGTCGGACATACCGGAAGAATGCTTTAATACCGAAACCTAATGCTATCCAATGCTAACAGGCTTTTGCACTGTCTGTACCATGCAGCTCAGCCGTTCCCCAGTCCGCCTCAGGCTCCCAGTGGACCGTGCCCGGATCCCCACTGACCTGGTCGATCCCTACATCAGCAGCAACGACAACAACCTATCGCGCACGCGTTTGTCACGATCTCTCTCCGAATGAATGGACTCAGCAACAACAACAGCTACACAGTTTCAGCAAAAAAATGATCCAAAGAAAGTTCAGCTCACATAGAGCTTAGCTATAAAAGGCTTGACATGTGGGGTTCTCCGATCCTTTTATGTTCCAAAGAAAGTTCAGCCCAACGGTAGACTGTTTGGCCAACGTATCTCAGCAACGCACACTCACACATAGCCGCAACCCCCGGTAAGCGCGACGAACCAACAGCGGTCCGCAGCGGTTTGCAGCGAGCGCTGCAAACGCGCCCTTCCAAGAGTTTGTACGTACGCCTCCCCGCGCCGATGTACTACTACAGGCCTATGCATTTGATGGTTCCTTCTCTAAATCAACCGCCCCATAGATGAAAAGGTCTTGCACTGTCTTATGGGGTTGTTTCATCCACAAGTCTACATGAATGTCACCCAAGGCACCGGCTGTCCACACGCCTTGCAGGGTGGAGCTTTCAAGAGCTCTGCACAGCGTTCGCAGGCCGAGCGCCATTCCCCAGGTTTCTTGTCCACCTGGGGACTGGCCATCGGCCGCTGAGAGGCCACACGACTGCCCATGGGAGGCCCCCACAATGTTATCCTTTGGTCCCAAAGGAGCTTTCTCAGGATGTACGTCCCTACCTGGACCCTATGGCACAGGCATAGTCTTGAACCTTCCAGGCCCTATGGATCCACTCCCACCGAACCTGAGAAGATGATTGACTTTTTGTGAAGCCTTGGAGGGTCCTGGCACCTAGCTTCTGAGGTACGGTGGCAGTGGATCCATAGGGTATGTTTCAGTCTTTTTCCCTCAAAATCACGGGTTGGGATGGGAGCCCAAACACTCGGTGTATGCATGCCGAAAAGGGCCAGGGATGGTTGGGGCCGTTTGGGGTCGGCATGGCATAGACCGGAGTGTCGCAACGAATGCAAACACTGGTGGATGATGGAAGCAGGACAGTGGGACCGTCGAAAAGGTGGTGTAATGATAAAGATGCATGCGACATTGGTCAATTGGTCAATCTTTGTGGAACTCATATATGAACTCTCCATAATGTAAATGCCATAGCCCACAAATATGGTCCAACGAGCTTGACTATAGTGTGACAGTCCTGTGACAGCGGGTGGCATGGTTATGAGTGAAGTGTGGTGACGGAGATGTCTTTTCAAACGCTGCTGCAACATCCATAAGGGGGTCCACATCCTTCTCGACAGCTCCTTGGACATTGGCCTCCAGGTGAGTTCCATGATAGTGGTGCAGTTGGCCTATGAACTGTAACTCTGCAGCCCCCTACCACACTGCTTGCGCCCCACAGTCCATCGGTCGCAACTGTTCGTCGCCTCAACAAAGCCGCACACGTAGCATTTCACCATGGCGCGCGTATTGCGACGTCGGATCCCCGAAAACCCGGGACGACTTCCCGCGCGTGACCTGAATGGACGGTCCGGCCGCCGCCGTTTGAGTGGATGCGCGGTTTGCGCCCCAACCGCGGGCGAAGCGGCAAGCGATTCTTCTTCGAGCCCTTTCGACCCCTTTCGACTCCTTGGGCATCATTCTTCGCCAGTTGCCGGCAGTCAACCGAAAAGCCTGGAATGCAATGCATTTGAACAGCTTCTCTGGCAATGAACAGTCTTTTCAAGAAGCTTCACCGGTTCTAACATGTACCACGATGTAGAACGTACGCCTTTGTTACACTCCCTGGAACTAACATGGAAGTGGATGGCATGGTCCCTTGGAAGACCATTTTCCACTACAAACAGGTGGTTTTCCACTTCCATGTTAGTTCTAGGGAGAGTAGAACAATCCATCGCCCAACCTGGATGGTAGGACCTCGCTTTTGGGTTCAGGGGACTGGGTGGTGAACTGCACCGAGTTCGAGGAGCATAGCGGAGTGTACACCAAAGAATGGCTCTCTCCAAATGCTAATGGATCTTTGGGGCAAATCCGGGCCAAGCCATGTCTTCCTGGGTCGTTGGTCCATGCAACTGACCAATGGATTCTGCTGAAACATCTGATTGGCCATTTTCTGGCCCGTCAGTGCTGAGAGGAAACTGGTTGTGCCCCAAGTTCATTACTCTCCCTAGAACTAACATGGAAGTGGAGGTCACCACCTGTTTGTAGTGGATTTCATGGTCTTCCAAGGGGTCATTCTCCACTTCCATGTTAGTTCCAGGGAGTGTAGTTCAGGACCCAGATTGGCTTTCTCTCATCTCGGTGCAGGAGTTGAGAGTGGATGCCCGTCAGCTGCAGCTGCAGCTGACCTGACCCCAAGCTCCGTCCGCAGTTGCAAAAATACATATCTGATCAGGAGCATTGAATCAGTAACAACATCTATTTGAATCCCTTTCTCACGTCAACCAATCTTGACCACCCGTCACCGTCACCAAATTCGATGGCCTTTCTCAATGGTGTCTAAGACCGTATAAGACAAGTACCTTGGCGGATGGCGTGTTGAACGGCAGAGGGTCCGAGGCGATTCTCTGACGGTCCCTGAACGGCAGGTGTCCACAGCACACGCGTGAAGTTCACAAGGGGGTGTTTAACTGTCCGTTTTTTTTGTTTTGTCAATTTTTATTGACAGGTTTTGGGATTCAGAAACCCATGCCAACCCTGGATGACAGAACGAACACCCGGAGCACCAGGCTTTCTCACACCAGGTGGCTTTTGGGGATGTGTTCGGGGGACGACCAGGTCGCGTAAACCCTAACCCCTGGGCCGACACGAGCTGAAGTCGCTTAGGGTCGACTGTACATTCCCAGGCCATCCATGTATATATGGAATAGCTACATGCATTGAGCCCCTTTATGACCCTAAGGTATGTAAGTATTCCAATATACCTGGAGTGTTTGGAGTCGGAGGTGTGTTTGGCAAGTAATGTTGGATCCTGATTAGTAAATGGTACCTCTATAATGCTAAATTTTTCCAAATTTATTCAGACCCCCCTGTTTGAAAAATGGTACCTCTATAATGCTAATTTTTTTTGGGCCCTAAATTTTTAAATTGGAAAACGAATTAATAAGGGTTTGAATTCCTTCTGAGGCCAATGATTATGATTCATTAAATTAGCTGATATAGCTTTCTCTAGGTTTCTTCAAAACTGACAGCTGACCAAAACCACCAATTCCCCAATTAAA